AGGATTTTCCCGCCAAAGACCGACACCTGGGTGCCATCCATTCCCGGCTTATTCCTGCACCAGGCGCTCCAGTGGGCGGTGCGGCGAGGAGGGACGCGGAGGCCTGCCCCTCGCCCCCTCTCCGGTCTTCATCCCGCCAGCCACCCTGTTAGATCGGCTTCCAGGGGTGGCCCTCGCGGGCGGCCGGAGCCACCGAATCAGTCACACAAACGACCCACCACATGCAAGAAGCCACCAGTACATCTCCAGGCCTTACAACCAGCACAGTTAGAACAACCCCTCGGCCAGAGGCTCGGCGACGAGGCGGCCCGGAGACAGAGAAGGCGGGCCTCTTACCCTTCATTCTCTGCTCAGGGCACAAATGGTCCTGAACAGCAGATGCTAAACACGGAAAAGGATTGTGATAACAGAGTGAAAGGCAGAGGCCCGGCCATCGACGGGGACCCCATGTCCCCAAAGCGATCATGCTCACGTCACCTTCTCCACGTGTCTTCCCTGGGGCGGAGGGCGGGTTGGCCGGAGAAGTGGCCTCCATCTCACCTCTGGGACGTCCATGCCAGCGGGTCCTGCTCTGGCGGAAGGCTCTGCCCTCACATGCCCGGCCCCGACACGGAGAGGGACCCCTCCCTGTGATGTCACAGAGGCGGCTCCTCGACAGTCACCCTGAGCTCGAGGCCCAGCCGTGCCTCGCTAGCTGTGTGACATTGGGAACGTCATTTGCTGTCTCTGAGCCTCTGTTTTTCCATCTGTGCAATGGAGCCAGGGAGCCCACCTCACAGTGCAATGGGATCCTGGACATGAACTTGCTCTGAAAACTGGGAGAGTCCCCGAGAGCCATGGCCACACGGGACGGAGTGTGTCCCCACCTCTTCTCACAGACCCAGCCGGCCTTGGGGGGCCCCAGTGGAGGCTGGGAGGCCGCGGAGGGAGACAGTGTGAGAAGTTAGATGATCAGGAGAGAGGGATGCCCTTGGGGGGGGGGGCTGGTGCTGGACCCTTTAACTGGAATGCGGGGGCCTTACTGGGTTAAACTGTGGCCCCCCCAAAGAGAGACCTCTTCAGGTTCCAGCCCTGGCCCCTGTGGCTGTGACCTGTGGAAATGGGGTCTTTGCAGACGGGATCCAGTCAAGGGCAGGTCACCCTGGAGTAGGTGGCCCAGACCCAATGGTGGGACCGTCTCCCCTGACCATATCCACCTAGGCTAGTGGTGAGGACACGCGGACACGCCCGACGGGAGGGACATGCTGCAGTCACCGCCCGGCAGGACGACGGGCAATGAGAACGGGGAAGGGCAGGGACCCTGAACAGACCGATCGCCGTGGGCTGGGCTGGGCCCTGGAACAGGCGGGGACCTTGGCGGGGAGTCGGGAGGTCCCGGAAGCTGCGGTCGGTGGCTCCGTGTTCACTTCCCGGTTCCAGTGACAGGGGTGGGGGGGGGGGCGCTGGCCAGGGCATCTGAGGCTCTCGGGCTGTCTTTGCAGCTCCCTGTGAATCTGAAATTATCTCTAGCCCGGCCAGTGTGGCTCAGTGGCTGAGCGTTGACCTATGAACCAGGAGGTCAGGGTTGGATTCCCAGTCAGGGCACAGGCCCGGGTTTCAGGATCGATCCCCAGTGGGGAGCATGCAGGAGGCGGTCGATCCGTGATCCTCTCTCATCCTTGATGTCTCTCTCTTCCTCTCCCTTCTGCTCTGAAATCAACAAAGCATTTATTAAAAAGTTAAAACTTGTACAAGTACAGAGAGGAAGACAGGGAGGCGAGGAAGGTCTTTCCCTGAAACCCCGTCTGGTCCGCAAGGAGGAACCAGGGAGGGAGGGAGGGAGGCCGGGCCCGAGGGGCTGAATTTACTGCTGGGACCAGGTCCCCCTGCTGCTCTCCAGGGCGATTTACAGCCCAGGACACAGACCCCATCGATCCGCCCTGAGCCCCGCAGCGGGCGCGGGGCCCTCTGGGAAATCGATGCCTGCGGTGGCTCCGGGTGCAGATTTATGTCCCGGGAGGACACGGCCAGAGCCCAGGCTCGGAGGGGGGGCTCCAGGCGCGGAGGGGGGGCTCGCAGGAGGAGCAGGTGGGCTCCAGGCGCAGACCCGCCGCGCATCTTGTGATTTAGGGGCTCCCCTCTCGCTCGCTGGACCGGAGTTCCAGGGAATGGCCTTGGCCGCCTCTAGCTCACATCGTCAGTCTCTCAGTCTCTCCGAGTGCGGACACGAGAGCATGGCCGCGGGGAGAGGGCCTGGGAGGGCAGCATCGTGCGGGAGTGAGGCTGCGGGGAGCTGTCCCGGGAGAGGGCGCGGCCAG